AATAATAGCCAAAAGTGACATAATGCCCACATTAAAACATCAGTAGTTTTACAAACAGCAATTTGTGTTATTTTTATTGTACAATATTCTACAATGCATTTCAATCAGCTACTAATGTTATTATTATTATATCAATACTATTAATTTACGTATATTTGCTGTTGTTTTCACAGTTTCTACACTTTTTGATTGTTTTTCACCATTTTTAACCTTTTATTATTATTATTATTATTAGTAGTAGTAGTAGTAGTAGTAGTAGTAGTAGTAGTAGTAGTAGTAGTATTTGTATTAGTATTATTATTTTTACACTCTAGTCTTGGACTCTTCTTCTTATTAAAACACCATCAGTGTAATAAAGACTAAAGCAGCTGGAGGTGAAGTTAATTATCTCCGTTCCTTATTATGATTAATAAACTATTAATATTTTACACCTGACAAACAAAACCAGCTCCAAAAAAAATTACTGTTTTTCTCCATCTAAAAAACTAGGACGGTAACTCACTGTTTAAATATAAAATCCCCGTCTTTCTCAGTCCTTTGTGTGCAGTTTGATATAAAGTTAAGTGAACTTTTGGGTGAACTGTTCCTTTAAGACTTCGCGGTTTTTGGACGCTCTCGCTCGCCGTCGTTCCATGAAGCGCTTTCATAAGCTGCTGACAGCTGCGCAGTTTGTGTTTGACAGCAGCACAGGTTCAAACTGAGAGGTTTACAGGTGAGCGAGGACTGAAATCCTGGTTTAAGATGTCCGGAGGGGCCCGTCTGGAGAACGCCAACCCGGTGATCTTCCAGCGGTCCGGGGAGAGGCTGCTCACCGCGTCCGAGGAGGACGAGGACGTCCACGACCCCATCGACGACAGAGAGATATTCGATATCCTGGTTCCGAGTTTCTGTCTAGTTCAGGCTGGTGTCACACCTCAGAGATGCTTGTGGGATTTACTTTTTATTACTGATTTATTTATTTTTCTTTAGCATCACTGGTTGCTATCTCAGCTAGCTAACATCCGGTGCTAGTGCAGCTAATGCTAATGCTAAAGCTAACGAGAGTAAACAAACTGAACCTGAAGCAGAGAGGTGATGAAGTGGTTCTGGATCAGGGAGGATCATGTTTTATAACATCACAGTCACCAGATCTGAACCCAGTTCTACATCTGTGGGAGGTTTTGGATCAGTTTATGTTGTTTTATTCCCTTTATTCCTTCATTCATCTGTAGTTCAGCACTGAGGAGTAAATATGATGTAAGAGTCACTGCCTCTTATGTCATCCTTTATTTAGAAACAAATCTGCAGAACTGCCTCTGATGTGCCTTAAATCTTTACAGCATTACATCTAAATATTAATAAAGCTACTTGTGAAGATGTAGATGGATATATGAGATACTTGTAGAGATAAAGTTGATTTAAAAATAGCTTCAAACTCTGCAGGTTTTTCACACGTTGAACGATAACATCTGAGGAAATGTTGAAGATAAAAGTCTGAGATGTTCTGTTGTTTCTCATCATGTTGTTGATTCATAATCTAAAAAGTAGATCAAATATTCTCTGATTATTGGTGAGTTAAAAGATGAAAAAACACCAGTCAGTGGGATTTAAACGTACAATTTTAACAGTGTAGTGTACGGTTTCTGTTTTTGTCAGACACTGAGTATTTTATAGATAGGAGCTGTTTTTACCTTTGACATGCTTCGACTGTCACTTCAGTCTTCCTCAGAAACGTCACTGACGTCTGTGGTGTCTTCATCAGCTGCTGGTTTCCTGGAGGTGTGACCCACCTGGCGATCTGTCAGATGTACCCAACAGGCCACGCCTCCTGCTGCCGGTGGTCCCATGTGTGGGGCAGCATGATGCCCCCTCATCACGAGTCACGGTGTCTTTGGCTCATTTCCTGACTTCTGTGGCCTCCTCGATCTTTGTGTTGTCCCACAGACGTCAGTGACGTTTCTGAGGAAGACTGAAGTGAAACATGTCAAAGGTAAAAACAGCTCCTATATAAAGAAAACTCGTTGTCTGGTAAAATCAGAAACCTTCTGCCTACAGTCAGAGGAGACCAGATGAACCTAATCAGGGTAAAACTTTAACAAGAGGCGCTGCAGCATCGTTAGTGTCTCTTATAATAATAACTACATCAGGGTGCAGCACATGGAGCTAAACTCGTCTTGTATTTATTATGAAGTTCTTTAACTGAAGTCACATCTGATCAGATCCATCAACGACCCAGAACATCCTCTGTCTCTGGAGGAGCTCAACGTGGTGGAACAAGTCCGAGTCAAGGTGTGTGCTTTATACGTTTATAACAGTGTGGAGGAGAATAAAGTGTGACACCAGGTGGTGGAGCTCCAGATGTCAGAGCACCAGGACGCCATCATTCTGTCCCTCACTGACCTGAACCTCTAGAGTTTTCTCTGGAAGAAGATGTTCACGTTCCAGCCTTTTCACTACAACATGTTTTATTTACTCGACCTCATCGTGAACGAGGGCCAAGGTCCTAAAAAGACATTTATGTTGATGTTCTGGTAGATTAATGGTAGCAACTGGACCTGCTTGAGTTCCTTGAAGACGTTCCACCTTCATCCAAGAGGCTTCATCAGCTCTGACTGACTGGTTGGGAGTTCCACATATTTATATCCTGAAGGAGACATGAACACCTGAGTTTGGGTTTCAGGTGGGGGTTTGTAGCTCCTCCCCTTCATTATAATAAACATCTTCAAGGAACTCAAGCAGGTCCAGTTAATCTACCAGAACAACCAGGACCTGGAGGACTGAGGATCTTCAGACGTTTATCTTGATGCAAAAACATCCTTCCAAAGACTTCTGAGTGAATCCTGATGGCATTCAGAGGCTGTTTCTTCAGTCCGTCCTGTGTCTCCGTGTCCTCTGCAGGTGGACGATGCAGGAAGCACCGTGGGCGTGGAGTTCACTCCCACAATCCCCCACTGCAGCATGGCCACGCTCATCGGCCTGTCCATCAAGGTCAAGCTGCTGCGCTCGCTGCCCGACAGATTCAAAGTACGTTGGTGTGTGTTGTTTAAACTAGAGATGAACATTTAGGTTCCATCAGTGCACTGAAGACACAGTAGAGACTATTTTAGTTTAAAGGTCCACGACTGCATTTTATTCTGGAGGGGCTGAAACGAACAATCAGCAGAGCAGTGAGCAGTGACGTCTGGATGAAAAAGTGCTGCCAGTTGTTTGTATGAAGTCTAACGAGATAAATAAGAAGGACTGCAGGTGTCTCAGTGGTTAGCACTGTTGCCTCACAGCTAGAAGGTCGCCGGTTCGCGTCCCGGTGAGGACACCCGGGATCTTCCTGCGTGGAGTCTCCATGTTCTCCCCGTGCAGCGTGGGTTCTCTCCGGGTTCTCCGGCTTCCTCCCACAGTCCAGAAACATGCTGAGGTTAATTGGTGATTGTAAATTGTCCGTAGGTGTGAATGTGAGTGTGCTTGGTTGTCTGTCTCTAAGTGTAGCCCTGTGATAGACTGGTTACCTGTCCAGGTGAACCTGCCTTCACCCTGAGTCAGCTGGGATAGGCTCCGCCCCCCATGATCCTGGTGAGGATTAAGATGATGGACAGATGTGCAGATGAGTCACCTTATGAGACGACAGTCATGTTTACTTTGTGATTGTGTCTAATCAGTCTCTACGTGACCGTTTCCAGAATTTCAGTGGATAATTCAACATAAAGTAAATATTACAACACGGTCAGTAGCAGCTCTACTTCCTGTTTAGTCTGAGAACAGAAATCTGCTCTAACGTTTCCTCCTCTGTAGGATTTGGGCGCTCACACACACACCTGTTGTAAGTCATTTTCAGGTCCGTTAGCGTGAACAGAGACCCGACCGTCTCCTCCTTTCATTGATTGTTAATTAATATGAACAGGAAGTCGTGTAATGTGATGTGTTTCTGCCTCTGCTCAGATCGACGTTCACATCTCTCCTGGGACTCACGCCTCAGAGGAAGCAGGTAACAGAGCAACACGTCCACATGTTCATCATGACCTCCACCAGGACTTCTGGTCTGTCATAGAAAATCTGATCTCGTGTCGTCTGTGCAGTGAACAAGCAGCTGGCCGACAAAGAGCGAGTGGCAGCGGCTCTGGAGAACTCGTCCCTGCTGGAGGTGGTGAACCAGTGTTTGTCCAGCAGAACCATGTGACCGCGGCGTCGTCCTCGTCTGGCTTCAGAGCTCTGAACAGCGAGACGTGTCTGACGAAGCTTCCTGTCCAGCCATGACTAGCTGGTAAACAGCGAGGCAGCAAAACGAGAGTTAGAGTCCAAACATTTCCAGTGTTTCCTGAAGAAAAGTACCAGAAGAACCCAAAGAATGATGTGGCAGACATGTTTGGGCAACTCAGAGAAATCATTCCTCCGTTTGTACACGTTAGCGATGTGGAAAAAGTCTGAAAACTGCTTATTTCTCCTGAGTTATTTAATCTAATGACATTTGCATTGTTACAGATGAAGTAAGTTTTTAAGAGATCAATATCTGGAGCGTCTGATACGAGAGTCGCTGCTTGTCTGTGAAGTTTTTATTAAAAATGTGCCGAACGTGAAACGAAGGTTGTGTTTTTTTTCCTAAGAAAGATTTATTAGATCAGAGATGCACAAATAATGAGCTGTACCTCGTTAGAACCATCTGTGGAAGACGTTTCAGTCTGCTGGAGGCACACACACTGAAAGTCCGACTCGTGATTTAAATCATTTATTCTTCTCCTGCATCCACTGATCGTGATGTTCAGGTTTGTTGTTGATGAGAGTTAAGAGTTGGTTTTGTGTTTCTACCGTTTTCCTCGTTCTATATTTTAAAAACTTTCATTTCCATTCAGGTCATTATTCCTGAAATCATCAAATTTAAGAAAAAGTTCACATCAGTCCATCTCCTGTTGGTCTGACTTTTATTTTTTCTGTCCATATGTATGTTCAGAAGTAAAAGTTTTGGCAACATAAAACTATTTTAAGCACTTTTGAGTGTTTTTTTTAGCTCAGTAATAAAATTACAGAACTTTTCCAGTTGGGACACGATGGGACTGGTTTCATTTATCAGACATTAATTGTCCTCATGTCGGCCAGAAATGCATAAAAAAGCATAATTTCAGTTATTTTCTTCTCATAGTTTGCCTCTAACTGGCACCATGCTTATTTTTAAAGCTCCTGTTGGTGGCAGTCAGAGGAAAAACCAAAAACAGCCTCTTAGGATGAACAATAAAGGTTTCATAGTCGGTAGAATATCAAAGTCGACAGAAACACTGATGTTTTTTGACCAGATTTGCACCTTCCTGTATCTGGTTTGTATGATTCTGTCAAAGCAGGTCGACTCCATGTGCTTATGAATGAAGCAGCAACGTTTCAGGACTCCACATACGTTATTTCTCAGGTTATGGGACGAAGAAAAGAGACAAAAACCACTTCCTGTAAGAGTTTTAACCCAAAAACTAACCTGTTACCAGATTCTACACACGGTCAACTCAACCAATGTTCACCTCTTCTGGTCAAATTGAAGATGGTCAGGCGTGAGGTGTTCGGTGAATCGAGGCCAAAATGACCCGTTTACTTTCTCCACTTGAGCCACACATGCAAAGAAAAAGCAGCAACACACTTGATAATGTATTATTGTGGCTTCTTTCTGTGCTGCACACTTGATAATTAAAACAAATGCTTTCATGAACAGATAAAGGTTGCAGATCAGCCGTCCTTCCCCATAGTATTTACGTCCACGTTGCTCCACCAGGGGGCGCCCTTGTCCTGCTCATGCAAAAGGCAACTTGTGTCCATCAGATGTGAGGAGGCAATCTGGCAGAACAAACTGCTGCTCTGATATGTCCAACATGCTCGTCCACCCACTCACCAAACAGCTTCCTTTAAAGCAGAAAAACAAACTTAACGCATGTTTTTAACGGCGACAGGTTGAGTCACACAGACTCAGAAAGGAGTTTGAACTACTAAAGAACTACTTTACTGAACATTTTGGCATCAAACTGAACATTATTTTAGTAGAAAATAGGGTTTAAATGCATGTTGTGTTGCTTAGAACAGATAATTACATCATGATGTTTGTATTTGCAGCTGTTCCAGATGTTGGCAGAGACGTTTTTCTGTTCACTGTCTCATCTCTGAGTGTGGAATTAAGTGTCTCTGGTGTAAATATAGAAAATATATCTTGGGGTAAGATAATCGCTGTTCCTCAAGCTTGACTAATAGAGATTTCTCTCTCTCTCTCTCTCTCTCTCTCTCTCTCTTGTTCCACATCTGGAAACATTGCATCACTGCTAAAAGCCCGGATAAGAGAGTCAGCCGGCACAGCTGCATGAGGCAGAGGCCTGAGCTGTAGGGAGACAGAGTCGAGTCAACCGGGACGAACCAAAGGCCAGCTCAGGACAGGAATGTGAAGAAAGCAGCAAATAAAAAGACACAAGCTAACATGCATTGGTGTGTTTTTCACCTACAATATTAACACAGGAGTTGTCATGTGAGTGCATTAGTCTTTTATTGCTTACTGCCTGTAGTTTCTGCTGTGTCCTCTCTATCTTCTTACTTCCTGCAACTCTGAGCGGGTTCTTCTGGTTCTGGACTTGCACAGGTTTGACATGCAGCAACTGAACCCACTGGTTCTTCTTCCTCTTCACCCGTCGCCCAACTGGTCGAGGCAGATTTCTGCCGTCCCAGAGTCTGGTTCTACTGGAGGCCTCGACCCGTTATAATGGAATGTGGGGTTCAGTAGGTTTGCATGTTGTAAGGTCCTAACCATCAGTGTTTCTAATCAGTCAGGTGAGTTGTGATGGTATATAACAATATGGGGTCTTTACTTTAGGCCAGGTTCATTTCTATTACAATAAAACTTTAAAGTCTTAACCTTAACATTTAAGAAACATTTAGAAAAACAATACTTTAATTAATAACGTGAATACATTTTTTAAATCTATATTTATAGTTAGCTAGCTGAACTTACGAAACACGGTGGATTAGCTTTTTGACTGTTAACATTTATTATGTTTATTATTTTAACAGTAGCCACTAAATTTAGCTATATTAGCTGTATTTCAGTTGTGTTAAATGATCATTTTAGTTTGTTTTAGCTGTTATAGAATTAGATCAAATGTTATCAAAGTTAGATTTTAATTTATAACTGTATAAAACTATACCTAGAGTGAGCTAGCTGAACTTACAAAGTAAGGCAGATTGGCTTTTTCACTGTTAGCATTTACTCGAGCAGTAGCTACCAGACTAAACTGCCTTTTAACCACCTTCCTGTTGCATTTATTCATGTTTTTAGTGAACTCTCTACTATGTATGACGTCCTTTAGCTCATGAAGTCGCCTGCAGTGTAATCTGATTGTGAACCGTTTCCTTCCTCCTTCCCCTGAAGCTCGCTCACTTGGCTCGACCCGGCCTCCGCACGGCTCTGGCTGAGGCCAGTTTAGCTGCCTGCCTGTTTGCCTGCAGTCCTCTGCACACTTCAGGATTGGCTGCACATCGCTGCTCAGCGCCGACCGCAGCGAGCCGACGGTCGATGGAAGATCCGTGTCCGTGCACCGCAGTCCACGCGTCCGGAGGTAAGTGAAGCCAGCGGGGCCCGAAGTCTGCCCCAACTTTGGTGTCCGTGCGCGTGAAGGAGGAGGAGGAGGAGGGGGGGGGAGTGAAGCGGAAACCGTGAGACCCGAGTTCGGTTCACAAGCCAAAAAAAAAAAGAAAGTTGTCATCCTCCTGAAAGCAGCTGTGGCCCGAAAACCAGATACAGTGCGTGTTTGAGCGCGTGGAGAAGGTTTCGGTCGGTCGGTGGGAGAGTGCGCGCGGCTGCAGCTGTGGCAGCGGGCCAGAGGTTGACCCCCCTCCTCCCGCTGGTAGTGGTCAGTGTGAGGGTTTGTGTTGGAGGATGAGGAGGATGAGGAGGCTTCAGACACTGTGGTGAAGCTGCAGGGATGTGATGAAGAAGAAGAAGAAGAAGTGCTTCAGCTGCTCAGGAGGAAGTTGATGCATGTACAGTGTGTGTGTGTGTGTGTGTGTGTGTGTGTGTGACTGAATGCCATCAGGCTGTAAACACACTCTGGCTGCAGGGTGTCGGTGGGACTCTGAGCTGATGGAGAGCAGACTCAGTCCAGACTTTAAATGTCTTCACTGCAGCAGTTAAAGATCAACACACTTCTTCTTCTTCTTCTTCTTCTTCTTCTTCTTCTTCTTCTTCTTCGGAGGCTTTTTCCTCCTCGTGTTGCGTAACTGCTCATCTGTGTTTGTGAAGCTTCTGCTTTGGTGCTGCGATGTGGGAGCTGCAGTCACGTAGGACGGGCTGGAAATAAGCATGTAGAAGATTAAAAGAACAGAGCAGCTGATGAAGTGTGCAGCCTGGTGATGAGATGAACTGCTGTGGTCAGAAAATAGATCAAAATGAAGGTCTAATGAAGCCTGAGTGATGCTTTCACATGAACAGATCCGACATGATGGATGAACATTTACACTCAGCAGCAGGAAACAAGCGTTTTATTTTGAAAAGCAGCAAACCAACAAGTTCACTAAAGAAGCATCTCCCTGTTTATGTCACTGGAGCTGGATTAGAGCTGCACCGACGGCTACGTTGACTAGTTCATCAATTAGTTTATTCATTTAAGCCAAAAAAAAGCAAAACAAACATTTAATTTATGAGCATTTTGTTTTGGCAAACTGAGGCTTATTATCGAAGTCGACTCCAGAAGAAGTTTCTATTAAACTGTTAAAGCAGAGTTCTGTCTATTTAACGATATACAATATATTTAACGATGTTTTACCTGCACAGAGCCGCTAAAGCAGCGTATTTCCTCCATATTGTCTGACTTTGGGAGCAGCTTTGACTTTTATAAACGTCTGTTTTATCATCGCACTGATAAAATCTGTGTTTTAGCTGCAGAGCTGCAGCTTGGAGGCGACTTCTGGTTGAACTTTAATCACACCGAGACGCTGTTTAATCCTCAGCAGAAGCAGCAGCTTCATTGTGCCTCCGGCTGTTTGAAGGCGAGCACAGGGAGCAGGAGAGAAGCCGACGGATGCTGGTGCTGAAACCAGAACTCTGTCAACAAACCGCCATGTTGTTCTGTTAATATTCTTCCTGACTTTTAAAACCGAGTCGCTGCAGCAGCTGAAACTGTCTGACGTTAGAGGCAGCGGCTACACAGAGATGCTGAAGACAAACACTGGTTAGGATGAATTAAAGTCAGTTAATGAAGCTCTAAACCGAAGGCTGAAGGTGTAAATATGCTCATTAGACCGTGTGGTTTGATTCTATTTAGACTGAGACTCCACGTGATCTCTCTCAGATCACTTAATTAATTGATCTAATCGTCTGCTGCTTCGTGCTGTGATGTGGTCGGTCGGTTTAACCGAAGCCACGTGTGAGGACAGTAAACCAGATCTACAGCCGGCCACAGGACAAGCAGCCGTGATTCAGGCCTCGTTCTGCATCAGTTCAGCTGGAAGGAGGCAAATTAGGTCCAAGAGTCAGAACACAGAAACATTTTCCTTCACTGGTGTGAAAGAGAAGCTTAAAGAAGAAGTCTGGATGGTTCAGCTGCTCCTGTTGGCGGCAAAATG